ATGAGCCACCAAAAATCAAAATTAAAAATAAAAGCTGCTTAAGACTATGTCCTATTGAATTTTATGATTTGACTACAAAACTACCAAACAAATAGACGGACATGCGAAGAAATCGAGCTAAAAATAACCTCGTAAAAATTAAATAGCTGTTTTATCGCGGCAATGGACCACCACCTCATTTAACACGATCAGTGTTTCTTCCAGACTTTTATCTACGGGGGGGGGGGGGGGGGGGCACATGATATTTTCGGGGGGGGGGGGGGCGGACACTGGTAAAAGTATGTTTCTTCGCGAGGGGTGGGGGGGGGGGGGCAGAGCCACCCCGAATAGATGCCTGGAAGAAACTCTGAACACGATTCCGCACAATGAAAAATCTCGACCCACACATTTTGAGTTTTACATTTTGTATTTTACTCCTGTGATGAGAAGGGTATGTCAGCTGTTGATTTCCTGTAATTAATTATGAAGCCTTAACATGTTGACACGTAATATTTAATTGTGTTGGAGGCTGTCATAACTTGAATTATCATACTTCAGAAATATAACAACTTCATCTTTTTTTCTTCAATGAGATACATTAATTATTGTAACTATTGACGCTCTCTAAAACTTGTTGTAGAAAATTCCGGTATAGAAAAAAGATGTCTGAATAGTAAAGTGATGTGAAAAATATGTTCAAGATGGTAAAATATAATCACAAGCAATTGCTGCAAATAAAAAAAAAAGAATTTTGGATAATCTAAGTAATACAATATCATACCATAAAAAAATTCCTCTTTGAGTTTTTGTGTGTGTGTGTGTGTGTTGAACTAAGGTACAAGTTAATAGAGTAGAAAATAAGACTCAATTAGAAACCATGCATATATTAGTATGGAGTTCTATAGACTATAAAATATAATAACGAAACATTCAAATATATACGGTACTACTCCCAGTGTAAATCTGACGCTTGAATTTATTATCATTTTTATTAAGATTTGTAAACATTTGGGATGCGATCTCGACAACTGAGACCGTTGGCCACGAATGATCTCCCATTAAAATATTTAGACATAAAATATTTTCCAAGGTAGATAATCAAGTCAAAAGTTATAAAACAAAACATAAACATTTAGACACGCCATTTTTAAACTCTACACAACAAAAATATGACTTTAATTTTAAATTAAATATATCTAAAGAACATGTTCTATTGTTGTTAATCAGTGACGTCAACTCATAAAAAAATATATGTAATATTATTTTTTATGTAGACTTTACTAATTTTTACTAAAATATATAATATTAACAAAATTAGTGTTTATCTAGTAATTGTGTCTTAAAATATTTTCGCAAAATTAAAATTTTGGATCCCTGTAATAAGGGACAAAACTCTTTTTAAGTACATTTAGTGAGGCAGAGCGATGGAAACAAAAAGAATGGAATACCAAACAAGGCAGAAAATCAGGGACGATAATAAAAGGGAATATATCAATTTAAAAGTAATGGGTCAAGATGGTAGTGTAGTTCATTTTAAAATCAAAGAAGTATACACCACTGCGAAAGTTAATGGGCGCTTTTTGCAATAGAGCTTGAATGCAAACATGAGTTGTACGATTTAGATTTGATGGAAATCCTATAAATGATGAGGACACATCAGCTATGCTGGAAATGGAAAATGGAGATTATATCGACGTCTATCAACCTACAGTTAGGAGGCCGATTGTGTCTTACATGGTAGAAGTAAGCAATACATTGAAATGGAAACACGTGTACTCTACTCCACTTGCATCATAGACCGTCATGTTTGAAAGGGAACTTTACTTTTTACATTAATTACATGTTAATTATGGTTAATGATGATGTAAAGACTTACATACTCATCTTCAATTTAACGCCCTTAAGACGCCACTCACAACAAAAATGCAGACAACACATTCAACACATCTACCTTGACTGCTCCACTATATAAGAAAATGAAGAAGACTTTAGAAACCAAACGTGGACACGATAACGCTAAATAAACTACCCCCCCCCCCTTAGAAAAGAAGACTCAATTATAAACCATGCATATATCAGTGTGTAGTTTAGTGATAATTTACTGATCTAACCTACACCGAGACAATAAAAATTAATAACGAAACATTCAAACACATACTATTCCAAGTGTAAATCTGACGCTTGAATTTATTATAATTTTTAGTAAGATTTGAAAACATTTGGGATGTGATCTCTACAACTGAGATCGTCAGCATTAAATAATCTCCCATTAGAATATTTGAACATGAAATATTGTGCAAGGGAAATAATTTAGAAATAACGTTATTAAAAATAAAACAACTATACACTATTTTTAAAAATTATACAACACACAGGTGACCTAATTTTAAAGCAAAATATAAATAAATAAATATTCTATTTTTTTTATATCAGTCATATACGTCAGCACTTTAAAAGAGTATAATTTAAATGTAAAATTATTTTCAAATAAACTTTACTAATTGTGTAAAATATTTAATATTTCTAAAATTAATGTCTTTTATATTTGCTGCCATGATATTAAAAACTTTAAATTTTGGATCCCTCTAGTAAGGGACAAAACTTTGAAACAAAAGAATGGAAGACTATCCGAGGCAGAAAGTCGAGAACCATAATACAAAGGGAACACATCAATCTTAAAGTAACGGGTCAAGATTGTAGTGTAATTCAATTTAAAATCAAAGAAGTATACACTACTGCGAAAGTTAATGGATGTTTATTGCAATAGAGCTGGAATACAAACGGGAGTTCTAAGATTTAGATTTGATGGAAATCCTATAAATTATGAGGACACACCAGCTATGCTGGAAATGGAAGATGGAGATTCTATCGATGTTTTTCAACAACAGATAAGAGGCCGATTGTCTCTTACATGGTAGAAGTAAGCAATACATTGAAATGGAAACACGTGAACTCTACTTCTCTTGCCCCGTAGACCGTCAGGTTTGAAAGGGAACTTTACATTTTACATTGGAATGTAAGTTAAATGCTGATTAAACTGATAAAGTATGTTGTACATTGTAAAACATTTCTCACATCGAAGCCACCAACAATTTTTTTTAAATTACATATTAGTCCTTTAGCAACCTTCTGGACGCATAGACCAAACATATTACCTAGAGAGGCAATTTTTAACTAAATTACTAAATTTATTTTTAAAAATACGACCTATATATATATATATATATATATATATATATATATATATATATATATATATATATATATATATATATATATATATATGTATATATATATATATATATATATATATATATATATATATATATATATATATATATATATTTAAACACAAAATACCACATACACCAATGGTATTTATATTGATTTGCAACTAAATACGCCCACTAAAACATTATAGCGACACACGCTTTTATTTATAGTGATATAAATAGTAGTGCATTAATATATTTAAAGAAAGTAATTTTATATTTAAGGTAACCGCAGATTTATTATACTTTTAAAAATCTATATATATAATTCTCCTCTTCGAGCCGTTATAAAACAAGCTGCAAACGCTCTCCCTACCTCCCCACCCCTATATGGTTGTAGTGAGCTGTGTTCACTCTAAATGTTTACAAGCAGAGCCAACGATTTTAAACGTAGGGGGGGGGGGAGGAAGGGGGGGGGGGGGAGGGAAGGAAGGGGGGGGGGTTATGGTCTTTAACGAGCTACTTATAGTGTTTTAAAGAAATATTTTCAGTGTCAGCGTTGGTACTGTCGAATTCACAAATTATGAATTATTGAAAATTAGAAACAACTAAATAGCGGCGTATGTTATGCCGCAGGCCGGCTCGTTATTTATATTTAATAAAAAAAATGTATTATTTTCTTCTTTTTAGTGCATTTATAAAAGCTTGTAATTATAAACGTTTTTATGTATTTATTATATATAAAGCGTGACTGTTCTTAGATTAGTTAGAAAAAATTGGATATCCAGCGGTACATTTTCTACTCGAGCGCTCAACTTCTAGAACGGTAAACTCGAAAGATCTAGACCAGGAATCTATCGCCTTGAGTTGTTTACATTTAGGCTGTGCCACACATATTTCTCCAGTAGCCTCCCCTTGTCTGTACGTTTACCGCCGTATAGAACCTCCGTATCCCATTTTACCCAGTCACGCTCCCCCTACCGTGACAGCCTGCAAATGTCTTTGATGGCAGCAATACTCTGGGAACACACACATACAAATGTCTTTGATGGCAGCAATACTCTGGGAACACACACATACACACGCCTTCGGAATGCAACCTAATCTCTCATTACTAACACACGGGCTTTACCGTTTTAAGCTCATTATACGCCATCTAAATTGTTAAAGGGACCTCTGAAAAGTAATAAAGCACGATGCTAAAATCAACTTTTAGCTAGGACCAGCGATAAAAAAATAAAGCTAATACTCGAGCTAATACCAAAACTAACATTAAGGTAAAATCTTGTCAGCAGTGGTCTGGTGTCGGAAGGTCTGACCTGTATTGAAAACATTCACGTTAGAGGAATTGACAAGCTTACAGGATTAACAGACCACATCAGCAGTTGTATCTTGCATTACAAAATACTGATAGAAATGGAAACATTAAGTCAATAAAGTTATTGATTTATCTTAGGGTCACAAACTAAAAACAGTACAATCATATAGAGTTCACATGTTTCTGTAATCTCGACATGAGTAAGAAAAACGTAGTCAATGTTCCATAACGTAAGTAAAGTACCATCGTAGCTCTGTGGATTCATTTACGCACTAGCCTTGGTCCTTATTGTCTTTATCACATTAAAAAAATGACAGCTATTATATGTTTGATAATTCAGAAGATTTTATGATGTCTTCAAAAAACAAACGAAAAAAAAAATAAATAAATAAAATAACACATATATCATAAGTTATATAAATGGATTTATTAGTAATTATTATATAACAAACAATTTCCTAAAGTACATAAGGAAGGCTTGACATTAAAATTAAGTGAGCGATATAATAAAGATGTATATAAATGCATATAGTTGCTTTCCATTAATTCTGTCCATGTAAACATACTAAACAAATACAATTATAAAATTAGGTAATTGGAAATTTCTCTAGCCTATGGTATGGAACACAAACGACACTAAATTGTCCACGGGAGATAACAATTAAAATTACCCACTTGATTTGTGAGAGTAGGGTTATATACCTTGAAAACGATAATAAAAGAATATTCCAATCTCAGTAATACAAAATATTAAGAATTAAACTTTTATTTTGTACTAATATGTACTTATATGTGATAGTAGAGATTTCTGAATAAACAAACATGCTAGATATGAGATACACTAGATAAAATATTAACTACTTAAACATAGGATTTACTTAAATGTTCACATTTATAATACAAAGCCTTACAGATCCCAAATTAACAGTTACTATCTACTTTATGCGAAGTTAGGTGGCATATAAACATCTTTCGAAAAACTATGCGAAAAAATATTATTGAAAAAATTGCACAATCATTACACACGTTATTAGAGTTGAACTTCACACGATCCGAGTGAATGTCTAATTAAAGATATAGTGGTAGATGACAACTACACTACTAGTCTAGTTATAAATATGCAAGAAATAAATGACACCATCATAGTCGTTTTTCACCTGTTTTAATGGCTAACACACACACAGTCAATCTATGAGGAATTTCAATTCCAGATGAGCGTATAAATGGCTTTATTACATCATGATAGCAAATCAAACTCTGTTGTAGTTTTTAAAATCATTTTTTAAATAAAATGTTTGGTTTAATGTTCGTTAATTTTAAACTTCTTATGTATACTCACCATCAAGAAAATATTGCCTTAGTGAAATGTTTACATCTATTTATTTTAATATATGAAATGTTGTTTATGTTCCTGAAGATTATATAAATAATTTGATTACTGTATATCCATTATTTTACAATAGCAATGTTTTCGGGTTGTTTACATTTGACGTAGTTTCATCTCAACAAAGTCTAGAGAGTCAGTATTGCCTGTAATGCCATACCAATGAATTCCTTTTAACAAAACACGACTCGCCCATTCACCGTTGACGTTAGCAGTGTGACAATCATCATACCACCAACCACCTCTCCTGTCTACAGCACAGTTGCCATATGGCCGCTCATCGTTATCAGAGTCAATGGTTGTAAACTTCATGCCCTTGTGACGACTAAAGTAGTCTCCAACATTCCCACCACTGAATGACGTGAAGCTCATCTTATACTTTGCTGCTTCATTTTCTACCTTAAAACCTCTGTACACAGCGTAGTAGTCTTTACCTTTATACTTCATGTCAAATCTGAGTTCATTATAACCCTGTGTTAGACAAACAATTAGAAATGTTTAGATATTGCATTGTGTTTGAAATATTGTAAGTATTGATCCCTCTATACTGTATGATAATTATACATATTGATTAAAAAACGTAACAAAAATCTATAAACAATATGAACAATTTTCCAAAACACTTTATTACAATAATACACACACTGCTTGAAAACTTTCTTTGTAAAAAAAAAAATATTGAATAAACTTATTTTGATAGTTCCTGTATCTACCCCATCATTAAAACAAAAAACGTCTTTTGACAAAGGAAATATTACATTATCTATTGCCTGCTTAAATTGCAACTTAAAAATATATTCCCTTACAAGAAATTCTATTTATATTCAATGTATGTATGGCTTTTCTAGAACTCCCTCCTTTTCAATTAATCACCTTACATTGCCTGCCGTTGTAACACGCTCGCAGTTAGTAAACCCATCTCCCTTACAATATATATTACTTATGTACTTTTCCTTCTTTTGATATGTTCAATAGCCCTAATTTTAAATCTTACAACGTATCTTATTTGTATCTCCATATGTATGTTGTGAAATGGGGTTAATAAAGGTCAGGACAGGCGGGAGGGTGGAATATAACTGTTGATAAAACCGGTAGAGGAAGAAATGACCGGCGGAAATTATATCCTGCTGACTGCATTACAATATTCTTCAAGGTTCGTTACATAACCACGATATTTATTGTATAAACTGTGTTACCCTTCCTAAAATATCTAACTAATCTGTAAATCGGTTATCTAATAAACACTTCTGAAATCAACGGATCAAGACACTTAGCTTTTTTCCCCATAAAAATAAAACACGCTATGTTAATTTATTCATCTATTAACATACTGTATGTGCACAAAATGCACCTTCGTCATATCAAGTGAAGATGTATAGTATTTGATTAGTTATTTAGCTATTGTTTTGTAAAATGTAAAAACTCAAAAAAATACATTAGGATGCATTCGCCATTACAATAGCACGTTACTTAATCTAGGTCCATTTAAATGTATTTTAAATATTCAATGCCATGACTGATGATTTAAATGTGCATTTCAGTGACATGTGTACACCAGACGCATAGTCCAATCGCTATGAAGATTAGATAAAATTATCAACATGAATGTATTAGTAACTGTAAACAATTGTATGCTATATTAATAGCAGAAATTTCAAGACTTTGCATTCACTACGTATCTCCACATTTGCAGCTTATATTATCCATCCATCTATTTATCCCCCTTTTCAACAGCCCATTAACAGTTTTAGCCAGATTCAATACATTCTTCCGCTCATATTTGTCATATATCTTCATCGTTCAATTCTTGAATTTTATTTATTTATTTTATCTCCACCTCAGCAATGCATCTAGGTCAAGTTGTAGCCTACATTATGGTAGCAATGCAGAGATGTCTAAAAGAGCATCGTATTTTTTTTCTCGATCAGTATACAACCTCTAGGGCGGCTTAATACTAAACTCGTTTACAACCTCAAATGTATAAGGTTTACGGTTGGGTAATATATATTTAAGACTCAGCTTCCGAGTTTCTTCATCACAACACCTTAGATACGCATCACCGCCTCTGGTGTCTCACAAATCCCTCCCTTTCTGATGTTTTTGGCCCCATGACCCCACCCCTACAACCCTCGTGCCCCCATGACCCCACCCCTACAACCCTCGTGCCCCCATGACCCCACCCCTACAACCCTCGTGCCCCATCTCTTTTTGTACTATTTATTCTGTATAAATATGGTTTCTATTGCTCCTTTTTTTATCGGTTTTATTAACATAACATTCAAACAAACATTGTAATGATGTTTTAATACTAATTTAATAGTAATTTATATCTACTGTCCATTGGTCCACAGCTTACGTGACCCCATGACCCCATCCGTCTAACTCCCCACTTCCCCTCTTTTCACATGAAGTCGAATATCCTGAAAGTCATCCTTAAATAGGTTTTGCTTACCTTAATTAACATGTACGAAACTATTCAAATTCTTTCATGAGAACACTGCTAACCAATTTTTTACCTTTAAAACTCCACCGTATCCCTAAACATCATTATAGCTTCACATGTCGGTACTAATCAGTCAAATAATCTTAGCTACGACTATGCACATCGACACAGAAGCACCACACGTTATCCCCTCCCACTCAATCACTAACACACCAACCTGTTCGGACCCCACCCACCAGAACATCAGCTTTGATTGTTTGTGTTTTTTTTCCCTATTATATATAGTATTGTACAGCCATCCGTGACGATAGTTTACAGTTGACAATGAAAAGATCAAGCAAAGCTTGTTATTACCTCCCCTTATTTTTAAATAGTTTAAAACCTAAATTATCTGCCCCTAATAGCCGTAAATAATTCGACCGGGCTCTACGATTGTAAACAAATCACGCGACTGGTAGGGTGGGGCAGGTAGCGACATGGTCTGTTGGGTATGCATGGAGAGAGAGGGGGGGGGGGTGGCGTGCGTCTACGTCTTGTCCCGAATGGTCCCCATGAAGAGAATTATATACGTAGATGTTTATTGTACAAAATGGGATGAAATCCACTTAAACCTACTTTATTTTCGACTATTCTACTATATGTTATAATTTTCACCCTCGTTTATAATAAAATGTTCTAAACCAGCCTCTGACCACTTTTCTTTTACCAACATGCTATAAACCCAATGTGTTTTATGTATTTACTAGCCGTCCCGTTCCGGCCAGGCCCTGGACTGGCATCTCTGAAAAACGTATCTGTAAAGGACCATAACTTGTGTGTTTAGTGATCAGCATTTATCAGGCATTGCCCACACTAACCACAACCAACCAAAACACACAAAAAACGCAAACATAACACTAACACAAAACAAGCACAAACGAAAACACAAAAACAAACGCAGGGACAAACCCAACCACAAACACAAAGAAAACACAAACACTAACGCAAACAAAAAAGCAAACGAAAACAAATCCAAACTCAAACACAAACCCAACCACAACCAAACAAAACCAAAACATACCAAAAAAAAAACAACGCAAACATAACACAAACGCAAATACAAACACAAACGAAAACACAAAGAAAACACAAACGCAAAGAAAAAAAGCAAACGAAAACAAACTTAACCCAAATCCAAACGCAAACACAACCACAAACGCAAACCCAAACTCAAACACAAAGAAAACACATACGTAGGTACCATAGCGTACACGGGAAGGCCCGGGGCGCCAAATAGCACCCTGTCGGGGTGCCGGAGGACGCCCGGATTTGATTCACTTAAAGACTATAGTAACCTTTCTTATCCATAGTCTATCGCACTGTTTAAAACACAATTATGCAGCATAGCGCTCACATAATAGCCCAGGGCGCCAAATCGAACCGTGCAGGGGCGCCGGCGGACGCGCCTGTTTCAATTTAGTGAACCAAATTATAATACTCCAAGCTTATCCGTAAATGGAAAGAAATAAACATATAGGATTTGTAGGACCTGGCTTATTAAATGTTATTGATTTAAAAAAAAATCAGTGAACAGTATGTTCAGTGTAAAGAATAAATAAAAGCCAGTATTAAATAATTATCATAATTTTTTTTTTTAAATCCCACTTTTTCTGGTTCAACTAAAAAGTAGAAAATAAATGCTATACATCACAATAATGCAAGCAATCACTCTACTATAAGCGATCGCAAATTGCGAGCGCATTATGACAAAAAATGAAAAACGTGGGGCGCCGTGATTTTCTTACAGTTTCTAATTCTTCGGTATTTTAGGTCAATCAGAAAACGTGTTTTTTTTTTAATTTAATGATAATTATTTTCTACTTTTTAGTCTTTGTTTGTTTGCATTCAAATCTTGCTATCGATTTTATCTTCTCGCATTCACCTTTTTTTTTTGGGTAAACGAAGACAAACACTCACAAAGGACGAACACAAAGATAAAAGAGACTTATACCAGGCGTGACACGCTTATTATTCAGGATCAGCTGGAGGTTCGTGTCGACGCATTCTTTCCATCTCCTGTAGACATTCCTCATTGCAGGGTTTTTTCCTGTTAGCTTGCTGCAATCCAATTCCACAATGCCTTCGCCTTCGAGTGATCGTACTCAACTGAGCGCAACATACGCCTGGCCCATTTCAATCAGTTCGTTCTTTCTGCTTAGCAAGACGAGAGACCCTTTCTTGTTCTGTCTCAATCGCAAGTGCAGCATCAGTTCTTTCTTTCTGCTTAGCAAGTCGAGAGACCCTTTCTTGTTCTGTCTCAATCGCACGAGCAGTAGCGTGAACACTCTATCTTTTGCTTTACGAGAGACACTTTGTTCTTCTGTCTCCATCGCTAAAGCAGCAGATTTTCGGTTTCGATCTTTTTCAAGCTTCTTTTGATACTCACCGACTTCCATAATTTTTGGTCGCGTTGGAGGATTTTCCAAACTGTATCCTGCATTGCGCTTCTACAGATACTTCTGGCGTGCCTTTTCCAATCGACGTTTCTTCTGTGTTGCCGTTTCTTTCACCATTTTGCCCTCGCGTGCAAACCATTCGACCATCGACATTCTACTTGCGGATCAGTCAGATTTGCATAGGTTTGTACTCAAACACCGCGTGACCACTACTCAGCCAATCGCGTGCTCGCTCCGGAAAGTACCGAACCTTGTTTTTATCAAATTACAATTAGTAGGTTATGTCACTTTTTTGTACAAATCAATAGGAGTCTAAAATGATCAATACAAATTTTCCATGGATCAATTTAGTAATAATAAAAATTGAATATTGTATTGTCATCGGAAAGAAAGTTTCCCTGAAAATTTCAGCGCGCTAGCTAACTGGGAAGTGCCCGAAATTTCGATCGCAAGATTTGATGGAAAGACAGACGCGAAAGCAAGTTAAAGAAAAAGTGGGAAAATACCTACGACATTGCACTTAATCAATCCCCGTTAATTATGTAATTATTTTTTTTTCTTAACACCAAAACAAAGTAAAAAAAGTAAATTCTTTCTTCCCCCGATTTAATGGGTTTTTTAAAGGGAAGTAACTGTGTAGTCAATACATTTCAGACACAATTTTTGAAAATTATTATTTTAAGTATATAAAATGAAAATTGTTTTTAAAGACTTTCAATAGTAATTTTTAACTTATAAATTTAGACCATGAGCACTATAATAATCCAATACTTACATCTAAGTATCCAAGACAAACAATTTACATTTTACAAACATTTTACATACAGAATTGAACTTTATATATTAGATTTATTTATAAAAAAAAAAATTAATATACCATATGCATCACTCTAACTACCTTGTAAATATCCCCCCAAACGGCATATTATGTTAAAGTATTGTTTTAAAATTATAAAACACGATTACGTTAGGCCCAAAATTAGTTTGGACATTATAGTATCTGGTTTGTTGTCTCAGTAGGTTACACATCTCATTGACATTTTTTAAATTACTTAGGAAATAGATAATTTAAAATTAATTGAAGCAGGCTACAAACAACTTTTTGAGGGGGATCCTTATTTTTTCTAGTTCCGCAATGATAATAACACATCAATATATTTTCTTACAAGGTATATCTAGATTAAACGAACGTATGAATGCCAATTGTAGTACAATATCCTTCACTTACCTAATCAGTTATTTACTGCTAGTCAATAATACCCTCTCCTCTAAAATGTATTACCCTAGTTCTGTAATTACTGTCCTCTCCTTTGAATTACAACATTTTACCATTCCTATCCATCTCCTGTTCATAACCCTAAGCTTTACATATCGCTAACCATTTTATACACTCTATGTACTGGTGTCCGTTGAATTATAAAATAGTTGAGTGTCCTATTGCAGTTTTATGTTGAATGGGGAGTAATTTACAGGAGTAGTTAATCTGAGGAAATGATAGAGAGGTAATATCATCAGGATAGTTAAAGAGGGGTGGAAGAGCGGGAGCTGTAATATTCTATCCTCAGCTTTGCCATGACCTATGAAACTAGCTCAAGACCACTAAAATTGTAACATTATTTCTAGAGATGAGATATTAAAAAATAAATAAGTGTATTTTATTTACAATTCAAATAATATAATAATATAAATAATGTCATCTCTTGCGAAGAATGGGAAAAGACATTTGTTTATCGATAGAAAAATAATGTTTTTATTTGTTAATAGACAGTCTTTAACAGTTGTATACGTGCAAGTTGTGTCAGTTGAGATGTAAAATACAAAATCACTCAATCAAAAATGCGTGTTTCATACGTAATCTCGCGTGTCATATTAGTTTTTACAATATATTTAATCGTTAATAAAAGTACTAAATTTTAAAGTAGATACTTTTTTGAAAATCACGCAGAAGAAATTATTGTCAAACTGAGAAATTGATGTTGAAAGGACCCCATGTTTTGTGAAACAGTTATCATATAACTAAACTAACAAACTAGTGTATACATGTATCATATAAAGTGATTGTTTTAAGAATTAAAAATTAAGTTATAGCTTGTACTACATCTTGAAGTGTGTATGTGACAATCACCTTAATACTCCCCTAAAACACATTACTCAGTGTTATTTCGTGATGTTCTAGTACAAAATTCAGTTTCCATGCAGGGTTTTAAGCAGCCAATATTTCCTTACCAAATCTGTCAATTTTGAAATTACATCATTTCCGATCCAAAAGTCTCCAGATGTTGAACCAAATCCATTTTTATAATCGTTCCAAGTTCTTGTAAAACTTACATCACCTTTGATACGTCTCTGTAAGAAATAATAAATATGCTAATATAAAGTTCTAAAGCTTGTGTTTAAAATTACGGCAGTGGTAAACATACGGCTACGTGAGTTCATTTGATTTATTCCAAGGTTTAATTATCTTTGAGATTAATTAAGATTCTATTTATGTCATACAACAAATAATTTACTTAAAATAAAATCAGTCGTTAGTTTATTATACTTAATATTTTCATATTAACTCTCTAAATATTATCAACACTTTGTGTATTAGACAGCTAAAATGTTTTTGGGATAACACACTTGCTTTAACTTTTGAATGTGTTAAATATTGAAACCAAATAAATCGCAAATTTTGTACATACAACACTAAGAATATTTTTCACAATCAGATTTTTAAAAGTAAATTCACACTGAACATTGTCGTTGTCTATCACATAGTCTGATTTTCTCTTTTATTTTAAAATCCAAACTTTTATCAAGAAGAACAATAAACTAGACTACTATTCAGCTTTCACATCACAATCCCCCAAACATTGAGTTATGTTAAAAATACTGCTGTAAATTAAAACACATAACTTCAGGTCAACCAATTAAAATATTGACCAGCGGCATACCAGAACTACAATAAAACTTTAGCTGGTGTTTTAAACGTCAATATAATCTATTATAATCATATTAATTTCAAATAGCCAAACAAAAGATATTATAAAAAACACTCGGTATATCGTTCAAATATTACATATATTAAGCGTCTATAATTTAGTATCATACATTTGTGTTAAAAGATGTAAATACATAAAAATTGTTAGAAAAAAATATCGGAAAAAACTTATTTGGTAAATGTCTAAGAATGTTTTAAATGACAAAAAAACCTGTATAATAATCCATCCTCCACCGTCTGTGTTGTTATCACACAATGTTCTGTTGACATCTACTCCAGCCTCTGTCATGTCCGAGTAAATACGATCGTTCATGTTGGCACATTTTAACTGGAGAAAAAAAAAACATTTCGAATATTTCAATTTATTTATTATTAGATGAAACAGTATTCATTGAAATCATGTGTTTATTCACACATTTAACAATTTCTCTACTTTGCTTTTTTAATAATAATATGTAATTATCTAAACCAACATTATCGCCTAGCAAAGCACCACACACTCCTACACAACCAGGAAAAATATATACATACAGATGCATGTATATATATATATATATATATATATATATATATATATATATATATATATATATATATATATATATATATATATATATATATATATATATATATATATATATATATATATATATATATATATACTTATACATATACATATAATATATGCGTGTTTTTGTGTGTAAGTACAAAAATATACTCCTAAATATTGTTAGTATGTGTTAAAGTTGTTTTCCAAATATAGCCAATTTAAAACGTCATTTATTTTGTTAACATTTGTTGAATATTATTTGAGTATATAAAATATTTTAAAACATTCTAGTTTTTCTAATTTTAACGAAACTAAGCACTGTATTGATTTAAGGTTAATTCGAAAACATACCCTGCCTAAGTAAAATACTTTAACTTTTAACTACTTGGGAGCATTCTTATATTCAACGTACGTGTTCGCTTTCGTTGAGCACAGGGCCAATAAATCCATGTAATCTACTGACTAGGACACCAATTTGATCTGATTTAGTAATCAGATTTTGAATGGTGTTGTTTATCTCCTCCAAATGGGCGTCCATATCAATGTCTGTTTTGTTTAGTAGTGATACAGCTGTTTGTAAATCCTTCAGTGTCTTTAACTGTGTCTCTGACTGTAATTTGTTGCTTTCATCCAGTTGTTGAATGCTTATATTTTGACGTTCCAATATCGCTGAGCTATTTTTTAACATTTCGTTAGTTAAATTTAGTAAATCTTTTTTGAAAACTTGCATGGTTTTTGTTAAAATTTCACTTTTATTTAACCTTTGAGACAAAGTTTGAACATCGAGTGATACATTAACCACACTTTTATTCAATTTATCCAGTTGCTTTTGTAAAACAATGTATAGATTTGTTACATTTTGTACCGACCTATTTTGTTTTTCAAGTGTGTTATTGTTCGCTTGTATCTGTTGAATTGTCTTTAGATAGCTTTCAGTTAGGTTGTATTTAAAATGCGTGAGCTCTTGATTTGTGTTATTTAAGGTGTTCAATCTGTTATTAACGTTGTTCATTTGATTTTCAAGTCTCTGAATTGTAGATCCTTGGGCAGATAACAAGCTATTGAATCTACTTTACATCGCATTAGTAAGGTTAACCAGAGTTTCATCAACCTTCTCATTTGTTAATTCTGTTTTGTGATAACTAAGGTTAGAACGTTTGTGATCTGTTAAAAACTGTAAATTCATCTTCAAGTCAGCTCTGTTTAACTTATCAGAAAATTTAAATGTTTTTAGAAACTCTGACATTCTATCAATTGTTTTATCAAACTCTGGAGTTTTAGCCTCTAAGGTCATCAACATCAGTGGCTTAAAATTGTCTTGGTCAACAGGCTTGGTTTTATTTTCTTTCGTCTCAGTGAGACCCCTTCTATTTGTGTAATACACATCACATCCAAACACTGTACTAAAACAATCGGAAGGTTTTGTAAATGATAAGGTCAATTCTCCAAACACTTTTGAAAACTTTCCATCAACTTTCGATCCAGCAACTTTATAATCTCGAACTCTTGAATCGGACTCTGAAAAATACGCCAACACAATTTTCCCCTCTATTTCACTGATGCTATAGACTGACATGTTGACAAGAGCTGAGATTTCATTATCTTCTCTTGTGTTCTCCACACAATGTAACTTGCCACAAAATAAATCTTTATCCTCCATATAATATTCTCTTTCTAGTAAAATGTCAAGTCCTGAAATATATTAAAATAAACCAATGAAATTTGGAAAACTAAATTAATCAAGAAATACTTTCTTTTAATACACTTCAAGCACAACAGCCTTCGAATAATCATTTTCTTAATCAATTTCTTCATTGTAAATTATTTCCAAAGAAATCTATTTATTAATTGCAAAAAAATTAATAATTAAAACATAAAACTGAAATTGTGTACAACAAGTTGTATTATTGTAATCGTCGGTAAATTATTATTCAATATGTGTTAGTTTATTTAAATTACTTGGACAAAGCCAATAATTGAAAACAGGTAGTTTGTGTTAACACACTACTTACAAATTAACATATACACAACTAAATACAAAACTAGATTTAAGTGTTCACTGTGTAACGTTAACCTATCTATCAGCCAAATAGAAGGAGAACGTCCCCGGATTCTTTTTTCGGGGTCATATGTAAATGCCTTACGCCTTACGGCCTAAGTGGATGAACACTTAACACAACGACACACTAGGGCTCGAATTTAATGTCTAGGGAAGCTAGTGATACTATTGTAATTAACACTCATCCAATCTACATACGACCTTTTAATCAGCGAACACAGTTGTGGCAGAACACAAGGTTGAACTAGATAAAATATTTAATGTATAAAATATCAAAAACCCAACTTACAAAATGCAGGAAAAAACACTATCACAGATTTCTACACTGTCTAAAGAACAGCTACAGGCCACACAACACTGCTGTAGCTTCAAAACTTACTTAGCGACAAGTAATATTAAACTAGAAGACTAAATCAACTGAAGAATGCAAGGCACACACAGGACTTAAGTACTCTCACGTTCAAATGGTCAGAGTCTATAGCCGGACAATATGGACGGCTGCCTGATCAAGGTAAAACGGCCTCGTAGACTGCCAGGTCAAGATAAACTGCCTCGTGTTGCGAGTGTGCAGTGCAATTAAAGACTTCTGAGACAGGGGAGGTTATCCTCAACTCATGTCGCCATTGGTTGGGATAATCATCTGATCAGAATCATTCAATCAGATTTTAATGGAAAATTTCTATGTCTCAAACACCTTAATAAGTCAGTGGAAAAACCCCAGGTGTTACACCATCATTCCATATAAGGAATTATACAATGTCAAAATAAAAATGACTCGACCTAAGTAGGTCACATCCCCTCCCTTTTTGGAAGTGACAGATAGGTTCCACAAAAACATACATAAGGAACCAATCTGGCAATGAAACAAAAATGTTTTACAAATGTAGGCAATCAAAATCATAATACCAGATGAAAATATCCCTGAACATAAAAGGGAAGTAACTCCAACTTTTACAATTGGTGAAAGGGGAGTAACCCTTCAAAAAGTAATTATACATCAAAATCCCTCAAAAAAGGGTATTACAATATTTCCATGTGGATATTAAAAGTGGTAAACCCGCCAGGGTAAGACCTTTATTTCAATGACTAGCTACAATATCAATTGAGTCATATGAGACATATTATTATAAAAGATTACATATAATCAAAAACCACCTTTAATTAAGGTTCACCTGAAAATAAACAAAATATTCAACAGGATTGGAATTTTGAAAAAAATTCAAAACTCACACCACTCATTTTCAAATGAGTGACACTCAAACAAAACCTGCTTATGGTCCTAATGAACCACAAAGCATGTCACATGATCAATGTGTACAACAAGATTTTACATCCTTGACAAACAATCAGCCACAACATTCTCACTACCCTTAATGTGTGAAATTTCCAGATTAAAATTTTGGAAATATAAGCACCATCTCAATATTCTTTGATTTGTCTGTCCTAACTTAGAGGTAAATTTCAGGGGATCATGGTCAGAAAACACTCTGACTGGATTGGTTGAAGAAGAGACATAGACTTCAAAATGTTGTAATGACAAAACCAAAGCTAAAGCTTCTTTTTCAATAGTAGAATAATTCTTTTGGTTCTCATTTAACTTCCTGGAAAAAAAGGCAATGGGATGGTCAATTCCCATGTTGTCTTCTTGAAATAGGACTGAGCCAATGGCTAAGTTGCTAGCATCAATGGCAAGTTTAAAGGGCTTGCTAAAATTTGGTGCAGCCATAACAGGAGCATTTGATAAAAATGACTTAATGGTTAAAAAAGCTTCTTGACATTTATTGGACCATTCAAATTCAACACCCTTTTTCAATAATGCAGTAAGAGGTTCAGCAATAGCTGAAAAGTTTTGACAGAACCGCCTATAGTAACCAGCCATCCCAAGGAACTTTTTGATCTCTTTACAATTTTTGGGAGGTGGCAACTTTACAATAGCATCTACTTTAGCTTCAATGGGCCGAACTTGGTTCGTTCCCACTTGATAACCCAAATAGGTAATTGAAGCTTTACAGAAATCACTTTTATGTAAGTTTACAGTAAAATTAACTTCAGACAATTTTCTAAAAAGGTTAGTCAACTGAACAATATGTTCTTCAAAAGTATTAGCAAATACAACTATATCATCTATGTAGGCCTCACATTGGTCTACGTCAGCAATGACAGAGTTAATGACCCTCTGGAAAGTTTGACCAGCATTTCGCATACCAAAGGGCATGCGTTTGTATCTATAAAAACCATTAGGGGTTACAAAAGCAGATATTTCTTTTGCACGGTCAGATAATGGGATTTGCCAGTATCCTGAAAGTAAATCAATTTTGGAAATTATCTTAGCTTGACCAACTTTATCAATAACGTCTTCTATCCGAGGTAATGGATAGGAATCAGCTTTGGTGAGCGCATTCACCTTCCTAAAGTCGGTCACAAACCTGAAAGATCCACCGTCTTTCGGGACTAGGAGACATGGGGAACTCCAGTTGCTGAAACTGGGCTCAATGATATCATTCTTAAGCATATAATCAATTTCATCTTTTATCAAAGCAGCTTTTTCCGGGTTAACTCTATAGGGGTGTTGTTTAATGGGTTTTGCGTCACCAACGTCTACATCATGAGGTGGAACCTTCGCTTCTTTGGGGACATCCCCAAAGATAGAGGGAAATGTCTCAAATAACTGAGACAATCTCTGGCTTTTCTCTGTGGACAAATGCATAAGGTGGACATCCAAATTATCTAAAAAGGAAGAATTTACCAATTTTGGGGGTTTCAATTTATCATGTATCACATCATCAGAAACATTTGAACATACAGGTAAAGTAATTTTAGCTGTGGATTGAAAATTGTTACAATTATCATAATACTTTTTCAGTGAGTTGACATGATACACTGTCTGTTTCTTTCTTCTGTCGGGCGTATTGACAACATAGTTCAAATCACTTAATTTTGAATGCACAGTGAAGGGTCCACAATATCTCAAGGATAACGCATTGTTCAGATTAGGTACTAGCACAAAAACTTTGTCGCCTGGATTGAATGTTCGTTTACAAGAACTCTTATCATACAGTCCTTTCATTCTCACTTGGGCCTTTCTTAAGTTCTTGTGAGCCATTTCGCACACGGCTTTCAGTCGAACGTGAAAATCGTCGAAGTTTTCCACTGGATGATCACTGGTACCTGTCCAACGTTCGTATATCAGCTTCAGGGGGCCACGGACAGAATGTCCAAACACAAGTTGAAAAGGCGAGTAGCCTAAAGAGTCCTGGACACAGTCCCTCGCGGCGAAAATAATCCAAGGAACAGACTCATCCCATTGGGTGTTACTGTTAGCGAATGTCCTTAGCATGGTTTTGAGGGTTTGGTGGAACCTCTCAAGTACGCCTTGAGACTGAGGGTGGTAGGCTGAGCTGGTGATGTGGGTAACGCCTAGCTTGGCTAGCGCTTCCTGAAAATGGTGACTGGTGAAGTTGCTGCCTTGATCTGTTTGCACGATTCTAGGTAATCCAAAGGTAGTGAAGAACCGGGTCATGGCTCTGACTACAGTCTTTGCCTTAATGTTCCGTAAGGGAATCGCCTCGGGAAAACGGGTACTTGAACACATAAAGGTAAGTAGGTACTCGTTGCCCGCCTTGGTTTTAGGCAAGGGACCTACACAGTCCATGACGATTTTAGAAAAAGGTTCTTCTAATACAGGAATCGGACTCAAAGGGGCCTTAGGAATTGTCTGGTTTGGCTTTCCGGCCAAC